GACCGGACGGACCGACGCACGCGGGGTTGGACCACAGAACGCGCCAGGTTGAGGGCGGGCGTCCCAGCTCCGGGTCATTCTTTTTATGAATGTCAGGGGCATTGAGCTGGTGACGAAAACTGTCAGGGAGGGAGACGCTGGCCCCTTAGCCCCTCTATTAATTCCTCCACCTGCTCCCATCTCCTCATACCCCCAGTGCCCTTCCTCCCACCAAAACCCACTCTCAGGAAAATTATTTCCAGCTGAAGTGAATCACTGCACCCGATTCCGGGGCAGAAAGCGTCACCTGTCTTTTAATTTTCTAAATTAAAGAAATCTGGCTCAGTTCGCCTCTGTCAGTGTTGGCGGGAAATCTATTCGTCAAGTTTTAAGATTCCTTTCCCTTCCCTGCAGGTGTTCTGGTGGCGTAGTGGCTAAAGCATTCGGCTGTAATCGAAAAGGTCGGCGTTTGAACCTACCAGCCCCTCCTCAGCAGTAAGAGGAGGTAGTCTGCTTTCATAAAGACTTATAGTCTTGGAAACCTGTGGGGGCAGTTCTACTCTGCCCTAGAGGGTCACTGTGAGTCGGAATCGACTGGATGGCAGCAGGTTTAGTTTTAATTTTCCTCTTCGTGGTACTATGAAGTCCAGAGAACTTGGGGAAGGACCATTTACTTAAATCATGATGCTACTAGTTCAAACCCACCAGCCACTCCTCGGAAGGAAGGTTGGGCAATCCTACTTCCGTAGTGATACTGCCTCGGAAACCCAAGGAGGGGTCGCTATGAGTCGGGGCCGACTCAACGGCAAATAACAACAACAACAACAACAACAACTAGTTCACAGCTCTTGGGGCACAGCTCCACAGTCTGCAAGCCAGCTGGTCAGGAGAGGAGTTAGGCGAGAGGCTTTGGTGGTCTCCAGGATCCCACTTCTCCAGACACACACCACGTACATATTTCCGACCCCTAACATGCACATGCAGGGACTGTGTACAAGCTAAGATGGGTTTCCACTCCTAGAAACTCCAAAACTCTTCCCAGCCTGGGAGCAATCATTCATCCCTTAGTTCTAGCCGCTTGCCTCTTCCTGGAGGTCCAGTACCAGCTCTCTGCATCCCGTCCCCCCCTCCCCCGCCCGCCAAATAACACAATTCCAGCATAGTTTCTTTATTACATAATTTCCTAATGCTTAAGATGAAGGCCAAGGGAGCAGGTCTTCTTTAGGGTTACCCCCTGAAACATCAAGAAGCTGTCAACCTGTATGTGTTGTTGGGGGGCCTGGGAGTGGGGAGAGGAGGCTGTAGGAAGAGCCCAAACCAAAAAAAGAAAGAACAAACTCATTGCCATCGAATTGCTTTCAACTCATAGCAACCCTCATTGGGTTTCCCAGGCTGTAAATCTTTGCAGAAGTAGATGGCCCCATCTTCCTTCCACGGAGTAGCTGGGTTTGAACTACCGACTTTCTGGTTAGCAGCCAAATGCCTTATCTACTACATCACCAGAGCACCTTAGGAATAGCCTAGACCTTATTTAAAATGTGAGCTATTCTTGGGAAGGTGGACCCTGAGGGAGAATTTACCTTTTTATTCTTTCTAGTCTCTTAGGACAGCAAGAGCACAACTGAAAATAATGTAGCAATGGATTAGCCTGGTAAGAGTTTTAAAATGAAAGAATTTATATCTGTCACATATCTTTGACCATAAACTTAAGCAAATGTACTATCTTATCAAAGGGTATTAGCATTTTAACCTTATGCATAGTGTGAAAAGGGCATTTCCTGTTCACTTCAGGCATCAGTTAAAATGAGGAGGGTGTTCTTTCTGGAAGGCAGGAAATGGGAAATGCTGAAATCATGTAGCATCAGTCATCTACTATTGCATAACCAATGACCCCCAAACCTAGTGGCTTAAAACAGCAATATCCGATATCTTACAGTTTCTTCTGATCAGAAATTTAAGAGCAGCTTGGTGGACTGTTTTGGCTTGCTGGTCTCTCAGGCAATTACAGTCATATGTGAGTTGGGGCCACAGTTACTGGAAGGCATGACTGGGACCAGAAGATCACTTTCCAAGGAGGTTCACTTACATGACTCATTTGCATGGCTGCTGTTTGTGGGAGACCTCAGTATGTGTCATAAGGCCTCTCCCCAGGACTGTTTGTGTGTCCTCAAAGCATGGTGGCTGACTTCCCACAGAGCAGGATATCCTAGAGAGCAAGACAAAAGCCACAATGACCTACCTCTTTAAAGAAACACCAGTTAAAAATAAAAAATAAAATGATAAAAGTTGAAAAGCAACAACAAAAAAAAAAAGAAGAAGAAAAAGAAATACTGGTTACCTCCACTGTACTGTGTTCACATAGACCAGCACTGACATCAATATGGGAGAAGGCTACACAAGGGCATGAATACCAAGGCAGTGTCATTGGGGATCATCTTGGAGGCTGGCTCCACACACATAATATCTGAAGTCGTATCTATTTTTTTCAATCTTGAAAAATGTCAAACATACAAGAAAGTAAGAAAAGTGGTACAATGAACTCCCATATTTAATAATTACCAAGGAAACACTGTTATTTTACCTTGTATAATTCTTCCTAAAAAACACATGCTCCTCTCACTCTACTCCCTATCCACACATCCTATATTAACTTTCCTTAGACCTCTATGTTCCAAGGTCTCTCCTCTCCTTTTCTTCTTTCTGCAATGCTTTAAAGGGTAAGACTGAGACAGGTACTAAGAGAAAAGAAGGCTCATTATGTTGTGTACTAGTTTCAAGTGTGGGTGCCTGCAGTTTGAAGGGGTCAGCATATATTCCTCAGTAAGTCTTTCTCTTTAGCTCATTCAGAGGAAAATTCCTTTTTTTTTTTTTCTTTTTTACTTTTATTGTGGCACAAACATACACACCAACATTCACTAACAACAACTTCCACATTTACAGCTCAAGAACACTGATGACATTTTTCATGTTGTGCCACTATTATTGCTATCCCTTTCCAAAATATTTCACCACCATTAGCATAAACTCAAAGCTTCCCCTTCCTCCCTACCTCCTACCCCTGGTTGTTGTTGTTGTTATGTGCCGTCAAGTCAAACCCGACTCATAGCGACCCCTCCTTGGGTTTCCGAGGCAGTATTACTACGGAAGTAGGATTGCCCAACCTTCCTTCCGAGGAGTGGCTGGTGGGTTTGAACCGCCAGCCGTCTGGTTAGCAGGCAAGTGTCTTAGCCACTATGCTACCAGAGCTCCCCCTACCCCTGGTAACCACTAATAATCTTTGGGGAAACCATCCCCTTTTAAAAACTTTATTGTGTATATACCTTGGGATTGTGTTAACACACACATTCTGATTCAGTAGATATGGGAGGTTCTAAGATTTCTGCACTTCTAACAAGCTTCCGGGAGCTCTGGTAGCACAGTGCCTAAGGCACTTGACTGCTAACCAGAAGGCTGGCGGTTCAAACCTACAAGTCACTCCTCAGAAGGAAGATGGGGCAATCTACTTCCATAGTGATACTGCCTCGGCAACCCAAGGGGGTGTCGCTATGAGTTGAGTCCGACTCGATGGCACATAACAACACAACAACAACAAGCTTCCAGGTGATGCCAGTGCTGCTGGTGTGCATTGAGTAACAAGGATCTAGAGCTGTGCTGTCCAAAGTAGTAACCACTAGCCATATGTGACTATTCAAATTAATTAACACTAAATAACATTACAAATCAGTTCCTCAAGTTTCATTAGCCTCGTTTCAAATGCTCAATGGCCACATGTTGGCCACATCCTGCCCTGTTGGACAGGTAGCTATAAATAAAGAGCATTTCCATCACCACAGAAAATTCTACTGGATCGCACTCATCCACAGAACTGTCTCATAGTAACTCTGCTTTCTAGACCTAAACAATTATTTATTAATTCACAACAGAAGAGCACCTGGGCAGGATAATCAGAAACAGGTTATTTCGTTTTGCTGGGATGGATCAACCCAGAGTTCTAAGTACAATTTGGAAGGTTGTTTGGTCAGCTCAGCATCTGAGCAAAAGAGGTTGGATTATAAAGTGTATGTCTATCAGGTTATGAGACTTGGTGAAATACTTTCCTCCACACTATAATTTTTTGGTTTTTTTTCTTTTTTTTTTTTTTGTATCAATAACTGATGCTAGAGAATGCTGGGAGAAGACACCTTATTAAGAAGCTAGCTTTAAAAAAAAATTATTACAAATATTTGCAGAGCCATTGAGGCTGGGTGAAACTATTGCCCTGAGATAAACTTTAAACCTTAAACCAAAAATATCCCCTGAAGTTTTCTTCACACAATAAACAAACAAACAAAAAAAACCCCCACCAAACTCACTGCCAAGGAGTTGGATCTCACAGAGCTCCCCCCTTGGGTTTCCAAGGCAGTATCACTATGGAAGTAGATGGCCCAACCTTCCTTCTGAGGAGTGGCTGGTGGGTTTGAACCACCAGCCTTCTGGTTAGCAGTCAAGTGCCTTAGGCACTACGCCACCAGAGCTCCCAATAAACTTAATAAATAATGTTTGCCCTGAGCATTGTGTTCTTTTAAAGAATGATTTATATGGGATCAAATTGACAACGCCAACTGGAAAGGTCAGACAGTAAGCTTAGCAGGCAGTGAGTTTATGTTAATGAAGGAGGAACAATTCAGAAAGGGAGGATGAGAATGGTTTTGCATAACTTGAAGAATGTAATAAACATCACTGAATTGTCTGTGTAGAAATTGCTGAATCGGTGTATGTTTTGTTGTTTATATTTTCAGCAACA